GGAGGGAGAGCTATTTTACGGATTTCAAGTGATCGTTCATGCGATGAAAGTGCTTTTGAGTACTCGCCTATGTTATAATATACCGAACCGATGTTGTTGTAGGAAGCAGCCAAGTCGGGATGATTGGGAGGGAGAGCTATTTTACGGATTTCAAGTGATCGTTCATACGATGAAAGTGCTTTTGAGTACTCGCCCATGTTATTATACACCAACCCGATGTTGTTGTAGGATTGAGCCAAGTCGGGATGATTCGGAGGGAGAGCTATTTTACGGATTTCAAGTGATCGTTCATAGGATGAAAGTGCTTTCGAGTACTCGCCCATGTTATCATACACCAACCCGATGTTGTTGTAGGAAGCAGCCAAGTCGGGATGATTCGGAGGAAGGGCTATTTTACGAATTTCAAGTGATCGTTCATACGATGAAAGTGCTTTCGAGTACTCGCCCATGTTATCATACACCATACCGATGTTGTTGTAGGAAGCCGCCAAGTGGGGATGATTCGGAGGGAGAGCTATTTTCTGGATTTCAAGTGATCGTTCATACGATGAAAGTGCTTTCGAGTACTCGCCCATGTTATTATACACCAACCCGATGTTGTTGTAGGAAGCAGCCAAGTCGGGATGATTCGGAGGGAGAGCTATTTTACGGATTTCAAGTGATTGTTCGTACGATGAAAGTGCTTTCGAGTACTCGCCCATGTTTTTATACACTATACCGATGTTGTTGTAGGAAGAAGCCAAGTCGGGATGATTCGGAGGAAGAGCTATTTTCTTGATTTCAAGTGATCGTTCATATGATGAAAGTGCTTTTGAGTACTCGCCCATGTTATCATACACCAACCCGATGTTGTTGTAGGAAGAAGCCAAGCTGAGATCATTTGGAGAGAGAATTTTCTTGTAAATATCCAGTGATTTTTCATAATATAAAAGTGCTTTTGAATACTCGCCCATGTCTTTATACACCCAGCCAAGTTGATGATTATAATCTGCTCTATCTTTATCGGAAGGCGCCTTTTCAATGAGGATCTGATAGAGTTGTTCTGCTTTTGCGGGCTCACCCACTTTAATAAGTATGTACCCAAGTCGAGACCATCCTGTGCGGTCACCAAGGTCCTCACGTATATGTGCTGTAAGTGTGTTCAACTCATGATTGTCATTACCCACAATAGTGAGATTAACTTCGTATAGCCGATCAGAGTGATTATCGTGAATTTGTTCAATGCGATCGATACGAAAAATCGCATGTGTTGAAAAGAGTATTTCTTCCTCTTTATCTTTGTAGTAACCAACTTTGCTTACTTCAGCAAATGGTGTTGATGATTTTGTGCAAATAGCCGTGTCAATGGTCATAACGAAGAGAATGCCAACTGAATTTGTATTAGATGCGGCTGGTCGTGCAAAGTTGTTGAAAGATATTTGACGATTACGACTTGTTGACAGAAAATTATTGAAGGACATAAGTCCTCCTTTGGTTTTTTTCATTTTTTCAAAGTCTTCAATGGACAAACCTTGTCCACGGAAGACTTGAAAATTTGTTGGCATGCTGCCTTTTTGTTCGTGATGTAGTTCGGTAATATGTTGATGTAAATGCCGGATGAAAAATCCCATTTTAAGGATAATGTCAACATCCATTTGTCGGAGTCCACGATTGAGCATGGGATATATAAATGTTTCAGCCGTATACCACCATATTGGTGTATGATCACGATATTCATTTTCGACCTTCCTAATTTGACCTTCATCAACATCGTCTTGTAGACGACAGTACTCTACGAGATCTTTAATTGATTTGACATCGTCATCTTCAATTTCCAAAAGTGCTTCTTTTAAAAGTTGTGTATACATAAATAATGCATCACGACCATTAAAGCTGATCGAGATCATTGCTCGATCACAATTTTCGCGATCGATTTGCAAGGCCTTACAGATTGGTTTGATTTTTGTGTATACACCTTTAACCTTTGGTACTTTATTGGCCCATTGTTCATGAGCTGCTTGGTTGCGACAGAATACATACACAGATTCTAATTGTGGTATGGTTTCAATATCTGTTATTATTTTTTGTCCAAGTGAGCCTGACACTATCATAAATACCTTTTGATTTGTAACGGCACTGAGAAAATCAATGCATTCTTGAGCATCTTTAAATGTTTCGATGCTTGCTACAACACGTCGCAGGCGTCGAAACGATTTCTTGAAATCGTCATTGGACTCATCCAATTTGGCATCAAGCCATAGAAGCCGGAAATTTTGAAGAACCCGACGCCTAGGTCGAGACAACACAACAGCAGCACGATTGTTCGCGTTGGTAATGGCGGTGGTGCTAGGTGTCGCTGCTGCACCACTGATAACAGTTGTTGTCGATTTTTGTTTGCTCATCGTAATTGAACGAATGAATATAATCAGTGAAACGAAGTCCCCTATATTTATAATTGTTAAATTTTTTGTTGGTTAACATCATTCCTTTTCTGACTTGTGGCTACAAACTTCAAGAACCTCTACTATCTCGTTCATTTTTGTTTCAAGAGTGTTACTGACAAAATGATGATAACGGATGGATCAAGTCTCTATACATTGAACCATAAATAAAGAAGAATGGCTAAGGAAACAAATAGTCGCTGAGGATGGACGACATGACTAGTCCGAAATGTCGAAAATACCTGTCCTAACTAGTTATCCTGACATGAAAACCCCTGCAGCTACGTCTGAACTAGTCCAGAATGTTCTCAAACTTCGACATGTCTAACCCGTTTCTCTATCTAATCAGTCCAGATTAGTCGGTAGACCATAAAAAGAGTATTTCTAAAAGTAAAAATTGTGCCTTTCATTGCTGGTACTCGTGTTGAAATGTATGCACACAAACAGTTACTCTGTTTAATATGTTTTACAATAAGATTGTTTTATACATACAAGATTCTGCAACCAAGACAATCGATTACATGTTCTGAGTAATATCAAGCGAAGTTCTCGTAAAACTACTTTATAAACATAAAAATAACACATGTTTATGTACCGTCATTTTTTTGTGTGTAGCTACTCTTTACTTTTCACTTTAATTTTCTTACTAGTCTAATAATGTTAGAAACTAAATATACTTACGTGCTATGTAGTATTGGAGTGTAGCAAATTTTGTATTGTGTGCTTGCAATCGATTTTATTCTGTATTTATCATTGACAAAATTACTTGGTTTTTTCCCACAAACGTATATTTACATGAATCAATGAAGCATGACCTTTTCATCCATGTGCTCGTCATCACATGCGCTTCGTTTTTCATATATTCTACCTCTTCTTTTTTTACCTTATCTTTGCGTTTTGTGTTGTTACAATGATGAAATATACACTGTTATTTGCATATGCGTATTTTTGAGGTATGATGAGTCATTAGGCTTTGAACTTTATTCTAATCTCTATATAAATATTTTCTATCGTAAATTTTTTTTGAAATTGATAATTATAGAAGTAGTGTTGAAAGCTTCAAAATAAATAAATGAAAAATTTTATATTTTTTATTTTATCGTTCGATGTATGAAAAACTCTATCTACCACTCAAACTTCGTTAGATGCATCCGACGAAAGTATGGCGAATGTGCTTTAAGAAAACTCAGGCATTTTGAGAAGCGGGTGTGAGTGTTTGTATTGCTTATCCCTACACATCCCGACCCTCAATTATTTAGTTTAAATATCTAAGAATTTCAATCATAATCAAGCAATAATCAACAATCAGTAAATAGAAGTAAAAAATATTGATACAAATCAATAACATCTTTCTATCAGTATTCAACAAATAATGAATGATTTTAATTTCAATGTAAATCTTATTTTAATGTGTTCATATGGTATGTTATATTTGTTTACAACATAATGATCATAATGTTGTATCAAGTTCATTAGAAACGCTTGAAATTATACTTAAATATTCAAATTTATTTGATTTTGATCAATTATTAATTTCAACCCAAATTGGATCTATAGAAGAAATTCATGTTAGTGAAGCCTGAAAAACAGGTAAATATTGAGGAAAAAAAACAAGAATTTTTTTTTCTAAAACAATAGCTTATTCAATATATCAACGTTGATTTATTGAAATGAATGATGAATTCGATTCAACATCAATGATTAATAATGAAAAACGAGCATCAGCTGCTAAACTTGTTCATCAATTATATTTTTTTTCCGATTAGATATATACATAATATGGATGGTACGATAAAAAGTGATGATGAATCATGTATTACTGTTAAATGTGCTATACCAATATGTCTATCGTATTTATAAACAATTTGATCCATTTGTTTATCTTACTAAAAGTATGTTTAATTCTTGTTTGACTTTTTTTTATAATCCAAAATTATTTCTAATATCGTAACAGTAGGAGGGCTTAGGTGAAGGGGATTATGGCAGAGTTTAGTTGACGTGGCTTCAATTGGTTAAAGTCTCAAAGTTTTAGTGAAAGTTATCTGATAGATATGACAATTTCACTATTAAATTGTTGACACATATATATATATTGGAATCTGAAAATTCAAGAATGGAGATTTCTCGATATTGATTCATCAGCTCTAGCCCTATTCCTATTTTTAATTTTTTTGGAATCAACAAAAGACTAGAACATTATCAGACTCGAAAAGATATCAAGTAGAACACTTTATTAAAGCTCAAAGCCTGCATTTATACATCAGAGATTGAAATTATACAATCACACAATTACCTCAAAAAATAGTTCTAAGCCGAAGTTCGAGATATGAAATCAATTGTATCCTCTAAGAAGTTTTTCATTAGTCTTTGAAGATTTCTGATTAAATAAAAATTTTGTAACTGATATGAAATTTCCTAATGAGAAAAATGAAATTCTCATCTCATCTCTATATGACTTGAAATACATTAAAATTTATCGAATATCAAGGTCTCTTTTTTTTCTTTTCTTTAAGATATTACATATCTTTTATCTTTATGTGAACACGGTAATCTACATGTACGTGGTGCATGTGCAAATTTACTTGTTACATTAATTCCAACAACAAATCATCTTTTAACACTATCATCATTATCAAATTCTTTTATTAATCAATGTTCACTTGTATCAACTGATTTACAAGACAGTTCAAGGTTATATGTCTTAATGATAATAATGCACGTGTTATACATGTTTCACTAAATGCTTTACGAACATTATTACCTTTTTTTATTAATTAATAGTCATGCATTTACAATCATAGGAATTAAATTATTAGAAGATTCTATTCAACATACTACAAGTTCCTGTATTCTTGCTAAAGTAGATAAAAGAAATTTATGATTATAATAATTTTCTTTTGTATGTATATAAAATAGTTTGCTCTAGCTCAACTTATAGATGATATGGATTTTCGAATATTAACTTATCTTGAACAACAATTAAAACAACAGTACCCTGATATACGTGTTCGTCAAGCAATTGCTTCGACTTTTGCTAAGTATGTATTTTGTAGAGATAATAACTACGTAGCTTTTTTCGAATTTGGATGAATAAGTCGATTTTATTGCATTAAGTTAGTTATTAGCTACTTTTTGATTTTAAGGTTTTGTTAATCACAATTCATTTTTACCATGTCAACGGATATATAAAATTCATCATTCATTACAAGCTCAAGCATCAACTCGAATACAAATTGTTTGTTATTTTTGTCTTTTATATAGGTTGGATGTTTAGAAGATATTTATGTTCTTTCAAATGTTTTAAGACCAACAACAATTCGACCAATTTTTTCATAATCAATATGATGAACTTCGTTTATTTATAATTTTTTTTAAACATCCCTTTATATTACATGATCTTAATAATTTAATCTTTTCAAGTAAAGAGAAAAAAAAGATATTTATTATGTTTTTTTTAAATTCTTTCTTTTTATTTGAAGATTTATCAAATCTCAGCAAACGAAAAAATGTTTTGAAAGTAGCACAAATGATTCAAGTAATTCGAAAAATTGAACTATCTTATCATCATTCTTTTGGACAGAATATAGTTGATATTTCAGTTTTCAGAGAAGAAAGGAGTTCCAAAGTGTTAGATTTGAAGAATATATGTAATCATGTTTCGTCTGAATGAATTCATTTGTTTTTTGTCTTTTTAAATAGAATGATAAAGATTCATCAACAACATCAAACACAGACAAAGTTAAAAGAGTTAATCATACACAATTAGGTACTTTTGGAAGTTATTCGAATTAATACGTTCATCTTATCAAATACATAAAAGTTTATTAAATTCATCAGAAATAATCATTATTGTCTATGAAATCAGTTTTAAGTCTTATTTCTACACAAGATTTATCAAAAAATTTGGAAGAAACACTTAATTATTTTAAAGAAAATTTCAATTATTAATCTTCTTTATTTATTGTTTAAGCTAAAACCTTTAGGATGTTGTATTGTGTCTGAAACTTGTCTATGGATAAAACTTTAGATGGAAATATTATAATGAAGGTTTCTGAAAGGATCTTTCCTAGAGAAGGAAAATTTCAATATAAGAATGTCATAGTAATAGAAAAACTGATTTTACAAATATCGATGATCTTAACGAGAGTAGTTTTGTTGTGAAAGTGTCAGATCTTTTGATTCGGTTCTATCTTGAAATTCGAATATTAAATCATCTAGTTGACGTGAGCGATCTGCAAGACACACTATCAATTCGAAATTTGAAAATCATTTTTTCTGTTAACACAACATTAATTTAATAATATTCTTTTAATTTAGTTTTTATTAAATCTTCAAATGTTTCTTCACAAGTATCATTAAATCATTCTTTAACTTATATTCATACAATAAGTATTCGACAATCGATAATTTATTTTATTTGGTTCACGTTATGCATCAAGTATAAATAGTGCAATACGAAAGTAAAATAAACAAAAAAAAACGAATTTGATCTATTCTGTTTTTTTTATTTTCTATTTTAGTTTCTATAGAACTAAAAAATTAGTCTTAAAAAATATATTAATATACAAATGAAAGTGATTTTCAAGCTGCTATAGTCGATTTACTTGTTCAATTACTTTTAATTCGTGTTAATTATAGTTAATTAGAAGCTGATGAAATTCGTTGCATTTCTAATCGTTTCGTTTATTTTTAAATAGTATTTTATTTATTGTATTGCTGAATTTCTTGTTATGTTATCACATGATACACTTCATTCAAAACGAGTTATTAAAATACAAGATTTAATAAAACATTATGATTCATTATTAGCAAGTAGACATGAATCTGAAACACATGGTAGGAAGTAAAAAAAAACATTTTCGAGAAAAAGAAATTATCGTTAAAATTCTTTATTTAGCTTTGGCAGCATTAGAACCAGTTTTATATGATTTTTTTTCTTGTTCGAGTTATGCAAATAATTAAAATTCCTAAAAAGTTTTATTAAATGAGAGTGAAGAAAAGGTATCCTTCTATAAAGTCTCCAATATCTTAGAAACTCGAGAGGGTGTGAGTGTGGGTGTGTAGATGTAATTTTTCTCCTTGATTGAACCCACACCCACACTTCAACGAATCGATGATCTGAAAATAATCATCTTGTTGTTATGTATCTGAGTTTGAGGGAAAACTAGGCATCTTAATTATTATAAATAAAAGTATCTTTTCATATCATGTGTATGTACTGAAAAAATAATAATAGAATTTATATTGTTATAGGCTTTACGATTGTTCAGAGTTATTATTGATAGTGTTCGAAATGAAGATGATAAATGAAAACGTCTTTCACGACAAATTGTCGATTTACTTCTTGCTCATTTACAATCTCAGGTTATTTTTCTTTTAATAGTCTCTGATTTTACGTTACTTTTTTTTGTTCAAATAGAATCAATCACTTTTGGATATTTATTCCACACAATTAACACTATTTGATGTTGCTTTTCGAGCGTTAGTAAATAGAAATGTCCGTTGTTTTTATTTATAAAATTTTCCTATAGCTTAAAATTCTTTTTAGAATGTCAATTGTCAATCTAGAAATCGATAGTTAGTCAATATAAATATAATACTTCGATGTCTTGTACAAAATTTAACTGAAGATGCTATATTAACACGATAGAATGATGTTTTATTATCAGTTAATGGAACACGAGATGAAACTTTTAGTGCGTAAGTATTCGAAATGATTTTATTTATAATTTAACAAGTATTATTCTCGTTTTTGTTTTCAGAGCTGTTCTTCGAATTTTACATGACGTAATATTACGAATTTTAACTAATACTCGACAATTATGTGGTTAAATCAATATGACATTAGTTTCTCTTGTATCCGATTATCTTTATGTACATATCACCCATTAATTTGATGATAAAACTTTCCTGCAATTCATTAATTACTAATGGGCTAGCGAAATAAATTTGACTTTAAAATTCCTATGCTTATATAAGATCTATATTTTATTTTCGCTAAACAATTTCGAACAATTGTAAATGATTTTCATCAATTATGAATTCATGATGAAACTCTACATTGTCTTGAGACATTTTCGTATTGAACTATTTTAAATGAATGTTTTAAATTATTATGATCATTATTTTATATCTCATTATTATTACAATGGACACATATTTTGAATATACTTGATTATACACAAGAAGCATGGTGATCACCAATATTGACACCATCATCAAGAATACATTTATTTATCAGTGGTCAATTACAATCTTATTGTGATTTAATATATCATCATGAATTATATGTTGAACATTTTACGTCAATAACAACACATTATCAATTATTATTATTATTTTTTATTTTATCTTATACATCATACATCAGTTGCAAGTCATTTATATTTTTTGTGAAAGAATACATTTAGATGAAAGTGGTCTTCTATTAGTTTTATTAGTTGAACAATTCCTTCCATTACCATTAAATAAACAATTATGACCTAAATATATACCGTAACTTTTATAAATATTATCAATAACAATATCAATTGATATTATTAAAGAAGATTTTAATAATCTTAATTGTCCTGTGGATATAACAAGAAAAATTTATGCACAAATGCTTAAAAATGTAACTTATAAAAACTGATTACCATTTATGATGTCATCGGTATATTTTAGTTTAATTTATCGAAATAAAT